TCACAGATTAGCTAGACAATCGTAGTTTTACAAATGGAGTAATTTAACACCACTCTTTATAACAAAATAATAAGTACATTGATATTTTAGATATACTGTTACCAACAATTCTGGCCAAAATCCATGTATAGCAAGAAAGAATTTCAGTGGGAAAGTGAGTGCATTAAAAATGATCTTTGCGCTCAGCCGGTGTGGCTCAGTGGCTGAGTGTCGACCCATGCACCAAGAGATCGCCAGTTCGATTCCAGTCAGGGCACGTGCCCAGGTTGTGGGCCTGATCCCCAGTGGGGGGCATGCAGGAGGCGGCCCATCGATGTTCTCTCTTGTTGATGTTTCTATCTCTCTCTCCCTCTCACTCTATAATCAATAAAGGAAAAAAAAAATTTTTTTTAATAAATAAATAAATAAATAAAAATAAAGATGACCTTTGGGGATTCAATAAAAAATTATTATTTTTTCCTTAATGTCCTCCTTGTCTTCTTTCCCCTCTCTACCAACCCCAATGATTTAGTATTCTATTTCTTTATTGCTACTGATTATTATCCCCCTATTTAAAATAGGAAGGAAGGAGAAGGAAGTATTCCTTTCTCTGGGAAGAAAGCCCTGAATACAATTTGGGGAAATTCATCTTTAAGAAGCACTAGATGTGCTATGTGGCTTCGTGTTTAAAATCATTTATCCCTGGTATTATGAACAATACAGCTTCCTCTATTCATTTGCTAGGGCTGCCATGACAGAGTACTAAAGACTTGGTCGCTTTCATTAATTTCCTCCCTGTGTGGAAGTCCAAGACCAAGGTGCTGGCAGGGCTGGTTTCTTCTGAGGCCTCTCTGCTTTGCTCGCACATGGCCTTCCCTCTGTGCACACCTCTGTGTCCCGATCTTCTCTTCTCATAAGGACACCAGTTATATTTCACTAAGGTTCACTCATTTTGCCTTAATTACCTCTGTAAGGACCCTGTCTCCAAACCCAGTCACATTCTTAGGTACTGGAGGATCAGAATTTCCACATATGAATTTTCAGGGGAACATAATTCAGCCCACAACAATTTCTATCTGCATCACAGATCTAATAAAATAAGAGAATATTCAGTAAAACACTATCAACGCAATTATATCCTGTACAAGAGGGTGTCTGTTAGGGTTGTTAAATCAGTCACATCTTCAACTATTTTAAAATCATTTGTGAAATTTAAGTTGCTTGTAAGGAAAGATTTTATTGGCTACTGTTTTAGAGAGCAAGGCCATAAAGAGAAGCAAATGATATGTTGTTCATATCTGCAAATAAGAACAACAATTTAAATGTTAAAAGTTCTCTAAATTCGCCCTGGCCAGTTTGGCTCAGCGGTTAGAGCGTCAGCCTGCGGTCCGGAGAGACCCGGGTTCGGTTCCCGCTAAGGGCACGTACTTCGGTTGCAGTTTGTCCCCGGCCCTGGTTGGTCGTGCGGGTGGCAGCCACTCGATGTGTCCCTTCACGTCTATGTTTCTCTCTCTCTCTCCCTCCCACTCTATCTGTACAAAAAATGGAAAAATATCCTCGGGTGAGGATTAAAAAAAAAAAAAAAAAAAAGTTCTCTAAATTCAAGAACCCCCTGAAATAGAGCTAAATGGAAGTTCTACAACTATGAAATTAAAGAAGCCACATCAAGACCAGTAGGAAGGGCCGAGACACAGAAGGGCAGGTCCCATACCCATGGGTGGTGGATAAAAATCAGGACGGATACCTTGGCTGTGAAGGTCCTCTACAGGAGCAAGGGGTCCCAGTCCCACACCAGGCCCCCCAGCTCAGGGTTCCAGTGCCAGGAAAAAAAGGACCCATAACTTCTGGCTATAAAAACCAGTGGGAATTAAGGCTGAGACTGCTGGAGCCCCAGGCAGTTCCTGTTAAATGGCCCACAGGCATGAACTTGCTGGGATTTGTTCCCTCCGGGCTTCAGCTTCAGTGCCAGGGAGGCAGCTTGAAAGGCATCAGAGACCTACAGGGAGTTGTTTGACATTAGGGCGAGGGCTGGAGAGGCACCTTTCTCTAGGACAGACTTGCTGGCAGAGGCCATTGTTCCTTTGGTGAGCCCTTCCCCCAGAGGGCTGGCAGATGGGAACCAGATTTGGGACTCTAGCAACCTGGCTCACACTGTTTGCCCCGCCCTGGTGATTCCCTGAGGTGCTGCCCCACCCAACTTTCAGGCCCACCCAAGCTGTTTCCAGTGGCTTTACCAGAGAAATGGCCTGTCTGACCTCATGCTTCAGATTTTGCTAAAAATCTCTCAAACAACATCTGGCCTCAGTGAACCCCATACCTCTGGCTAAGTGGCCTCAGGGCTGGTACTAGCAGCAGCTGGACTTGGTTCACAGCTTGGCCTTGCCTAGGCACGTTCAAGCCCAGCACAAGGAGCAGCCATCTGCAGATCACTTTGTAGCTTATGCCTGGTGGCTCCAGGTAGAACACAGGCAGTGACTGACCTTGACATGAACCTCCTGGGAGGCCCCAGAGTCAACACACCCAGTGGACAGCTTAAGACCACGTGGAAACAACACCATCCAACCATCTCCACAAGCAACACACTCAAGGGATGGACTCAGTGGGTACCAGAGCCCTGCTGAAGTAAGTGCTCTGTGTGGTAGACCCCTGTACAGCTGATACTCCAGGTGGTCAGATGTCAGTGGTCAGTGGTCACAGCCAGTCCTTGCAGGTGATCAGCCTGAGTAAATCTCTCCCAATGATGTGCCAACAGCAATCGAGTCTCAACTACAGCTGAAGGGTGTACTGTCCAGATATGGGGGTACACCTTGAGAGCCCAGCTGGGGTGATCAGGGAGGCTGTGCCACTGGATCCTACAGGACACCTACAACAATAGGCCACCCTATTATTGGGTTTAACGATGAAGGGATTAAGAAGTACAAATTGGCCCTGGCCGGTTGGCTCAGCAGTTAGAGCAGACTAGAGAGACCAGGGTTCGGTTCCTGCTACGGGCACGCATCTCGGTTGCAGTTTGTCCCCAGCCCTGGTTGGGGTTGTGTGAGTGGCAACCAGTCCATAAGTCTCTCTCATGTCGATGTTTCTCTCTCTCTCTCTGTGTCTCTCTCTCCCTCCCACTCTATCTTAAGATAAATGCAAAAATGTCCTCGGGTGAGGATAAAAATAAATAAAGAGCTTCACTAAAAAAAAGTACAAATTGGTTGTTAGACTAATGAAATTCAGAGGGAGGGGGGTGGGGGTGGGAAGAGATAAACTAAAGAACTTCTATGCAGACATGCATACCAACGGACACAGAAAATAGTGTGGGGAAGGCAGGAGGTGGTGTAAAGGACAAACACATGCTATGTGAACATACAGTAAAATTTTTCCCATCAGGCAGACCTTACCCCCTGGATTTTAAGAGAATGGCAAGAACTAGCTGCTAGAGTTAATAGATAACCACTGCATTGTATACATAACCATTGCTTTGTGTACACCGGAAAGGCTTGCTCCCTCAGGCATAACAGCTAACTGCAACTATCTGCTTCTGTACTTGCTTGCAAACCCTTAGCTAAATTCCTTACCAGGGGCTAAGACAACTATATAAGCAACCTTCCCCCTGAGCTTGGGGCTGCTCTCTCTTCTGCATAGGATGGGACAGTCGCCACGCGGCTAATAAAGCTCTCTAAATCTGAACCCAGTTGGGAGTCTGAGTCTGGTCTGTCTAGTTTGTCTACAACAGTGGGTGGGAGTGGGGAGGAGGGGGTCAATGGGGGAAAGGGGGGGGGCATCGTAATACTTGCAACAATAAAGATAAATTTTAAAACATTCTCTAAATTTTGAAAAATGAAAAAAGTAATCTAAAATTAATGGTTAATTATAGAAGATAAGAGGTGTTTTTTTAAATAATTTTTTTATGCTTAAAATGACTTATGAAGAACATGGCAAAAAATAATACTAGAACAAAGTAGACTTGAAAGTTAGCATAGCCTCCTCCTGGCATCACTTGTTTATATTAAACAGAGTGGATCACAGAAGAATAAGGAGGACTCACTATGCTTTGGTCTCATTTCTGTAAGCCAAGTACAGCATGGTGTTCAAACTCTTAGTGGGCGGAAGAATACAAAATAATCAGAAATCGAGAGGCAGATTTGTTCGTTATTATCAATTAAGATGACTCATATGAAGCTGATCTTTCAGTAGATAAAAACAGGGGATTTAACGTGTGAAAGAGGGGAAAGGGAAGCACCTAGAAGCCATTATGATGGAAGACCAGGAGATGGACTTTTGTCTTAAAATTATAATACAATTTATATATAACATATTAACCTCAGCATTTCAAGTTTGGTCTCATATCAATAATAATATTGCCACCCTTCCTCACCTTATTCATTTTCTTTTTATATTATTAGCTACTTAAATCCTCCAAGCAAGTTCCGGGCCTTCTGCCTCACCCAGGCCGCCGGCTGAAACGGACACTGAGCTCTTCCTCCCTGCAAAGGTTTCCCCGACCCTGGCAAGTTCTGAGAACTTGACTCCCTCACCCCACCTGGCCATCCTTCCCGCGGAGTTGGCCACCTGCACCTACAAATCTAACGCATTGCGTTACCGTCCTCCTGTCTCCGGGAAGAGGAAAGGGCTCTTTCTTCCTCCGATTCCCGATCTGGGTAAACAAGTAGCCCCGTCTCTTAGCTGCCAGGGCGTGGGGCGGGGACTCCCTTTCCCAGTGATGGTATAGCTGCTGGGGTGGAAGCTGAGACACATCAGGGGCCTGTTGTCCCGGCAAGTTGTATACACTCGACTCCAAACATGACTTAAGGAAATGCCGCAGCCGAGCAGAGCGCCAGGACGCCGCCAGCATCTTCGTGGCCGGCGCAGGCGCAGGCGCAGGCGAGCCAGACCCCCAGGAGCCCGCTTCTGCAATTTGGAATCAGAGCCTGCGGCGTCGGAGCGCGTCCCCTTCCGCTTGGGCTTTGCTCTTCGGTGGAGCAGGAGGCCAGCCAATGGGGTGCTTTCTACTGCCCCCCTTCACCCCCCAGGCTGAGGCCGCAGCCCACATCTGCGTGCGCTCTCCTCCGGCCAGCAGGAAGAACACAGGCTGTGGCTGCCCGGGCTCAGGTCATGGCTGCTCCCGCGCCGCCCCAGGCCCCTGCCGAGGGCTCGCCCTGGTCGCTGAGCCTTCTGCCCCCGCCTCTGCTCCGGCTGGACCCCACCGGCGGCGCGCTGCTGCTGCTCGGCCTGGCCGCGCTGCTCGGCTGGAGCTGGCTGCGGCGGTGCCGTCCTGCGGGCATACCCCCCGGGCCCACGCCCTGGCCCTTGGTGGGTAACATCGGTTTCGTGCTGCTGCCTCCCTTCCTCCGCAAGAGGTGCTGGATGTACCGCCCGAAGAGGGGCGCAGGCGTGGACCCCTCCGCGAGCTCGCAGGTGGTGCTGACCCACCTGGCCCAAGTCTATGGCAACATCTTTAGCTTCTTCTTGGGCCACTACCTGGTGGTCGTCCTCAATGACTTCCACAGCGTGCGCGAGGCGCTGGTGCAGCAGGCCGAGGTCTTCAGCGACCGCCCTCGGATGCCAATTGTCTCCCACATGACCAAGGAGAAGGGTGAGCTGGGCCTGGGAGCCTGGGGTGTCATGGGCCGCGTGAACTTGCGAGGCTGTGGGTCCTATGCCCCCTCCAGCCCGACACCCCACCAAACTTCCGCATCTGAGCCAAGGGGGTTGGGCGGTGGGCAGTGATGCCTTTTCTGGCGCCTTTAAGATGCCATTCAGGCCCCACGGGTTTGGCTCACGGGACTGAACTTGGTCCCTAGGACTGAGAGGTCTCAGCTGGATTCCTGTCAGCGCACATGCCTGGGTTGCGGGCTCCATCCCCCCTAGGGGGCGTGCAGGAAGCAGCCCATCCATGTTTCTCTCTCACATAGATGTTTCTATCTCTCTCTCCCTAAAAAATAAAACAAAAACATATTTTTATAAAAGATGCCATTCAGCTGTAACTGTTGAGTAACTTGTTCATATTTCAAGATCAGAAGGGTAATGGTGAAACCAAGGGACGGTGTTCGGTCTGGTTTGTTGTCTTGCAAACTAGAAGAATGAATTCATGGACAAAAGTCAAGGAAAGAAAAGACCCAAGTGGGTTGCCTGTGGGGTTCCACCGTCCATGGGTAGATAAATACCTTACTAGTCTCTGATTGATTCTTTTAAGAATTCTGCCTTAGCAACATCTATATTTTAAGGTTTGTGTTTTCCCACCGAGTTGGGTTCAGCTCTAAATCATCTCGTTTTACACGAGGTGATCTCCACAGGCAAGCTGCATTGTGTCAGTCTTCCCAAGGTCCTCTATTTCCCTTCCTTTGGTCTCTTTCCTAACTGCCTAGCCTGCCTATCTGTCTCCTCAATGGAAGGAAATGGGGTGAGAACAAGGTGTGAAGATAGGCTGCATCTCTCCAGGGGTACCCTCTCCTTCCCAGAATCAGACTATCTATCTAGATCTATCACTCTTTGTTTATGTCTTCTCTTCCCTTTGTTTTATCTTTTTAATACTTAAAAAATGTTTTTTCTGTATTGGTTTTTATTTTTTTTCCTCACCTGAGGACATTTTTCCACTTTTTTGTTCAGGTAGAGTGAGAGGAAGGTAGAGAGAGAAACATCGACGTGAAAGGGACACATAGAGTGACTGCCACCGACACGACCAACCAGGGCCGGGGACAAACTGCAACCGAGGTACATGCCCTTAGCGGGAACTGAACCCGGTCTCTCCGGACTGCAGGCCGACGCTCTAACTGCTGAACCAAACCGGCCAGGGCTCTGTATTGTTTAGAGGGAGAGGGAGACAGAGAAATATCGATGAGAGAGACCACTGATTGACTGCCTCCTGCATGCCCCCAACTGGGGATCGGGCCCACAACCTGGGCATGTGCCCTAACCAGGAATTGAGCCAGTGACCTCTTAGTGCATTGGTCGAAGCTCTACCACTAAGCCACACCGGCCAGGTTTAATTTTTTTTTTTTTTATTGATTTTTTTAGAGAGGAAGGGAAAGAGATAGAATCATCTATTGGCTGCCTCCTGCACCAGCACCATCCCCTCCACCTCCCACCCCCATCCCCCATACTGGGGATCAAGGTTGGGTATGTGCCCTGACTGAGAACTGAGCCAGGACCTTAGTTGATGGGTCAGCGCTCAATCCATTCAGCCACACCTACTGGACTCCCTTTATCTTATTGGCTGGCATAGGTCTTAGACCTCTTATTTTTCTTTTGGTTTGAGCCACTTCTTTGCAGATGTTAAATGCCTTTGCTGAGGGAGGTGCCCCCCCCCCCTTACTGCCTTGCCAAGTAAGTTAATCTTCCTTGTCAGAACCAGTTTAATCTGGGCCTGTTGTTGGTTAAAGCACTTTGGTTCTTTTAATATGGTCTTTTCATATGGGTTGGGATTCTCACACAATGGCAACTGGGTTTCAAGCGGATGAAAGCAAATATTAAAAGTAGCATCTGCAGCCTGTAGGTTAAAAGCTCTTCCAGATGCAGGTAGAGGGGAGATAGATTCCACTGTTCCATGAGAAGAGTAGTCAGGAGACAAGAATTCGTGGCCATTTTTTTTTTACCCTTACCTGAGGACATTTTTCCATTTTTTGTTCAGATAGAGTGGGAGGGAGAGAGAGGGAGAAAGAGAGAGAAACACTGACATGAAAGGGACACATCGAGTGGCTGCCACCTGCACTACCCAACCAGGGCTGGGGGCAAACTGCAACCGAGGTTCATGTCCCTAGCGGGAACCAAACCCAGGTCTCTCTGGAGCGCAGGCCGACGCTCAAATCACTGAGCCAAACCAGTCAGGGCCATGGTCATCTTTAATTCACCACAGGCGCGCGTGCACACACACACACACACACACACACACACACACAATGTTTACATATTTGTAGGAAATCCTTATTCAATACTTACAGTATGGTATCTAAAAGCAGGTTTACTACTGCTGACATCTACAGTTACGTCCTCAGATCAACCTTTTACCTTCCTTAATGGGAACAGAAAGTCACAAACATTAAGTTACAGTCTACCTTTCAGTCTGTCTTTTAAGGCGCTGGTCTGTTTTCTCAATGATATAAGGTGATTTACAAGTACTAACAATAACCTGCTATGACTTAATGGTTTGTATCCTTCCCATTTATTTCTTTAAATCTGGAATGTAATTCCCTGTGTGGCATCTTATTTCTAATGTAGAAAAAAATAAGTTATCAAGCATACAATTTTACTCTAAGGATACAGTTTACTATATGGGCATTAAACTTATAAATTTATTCCATTTTTAAAATGATTGACAAAAATCCACTTGATTGATGCCCTTTGGCACATTCTTCTCAATTCCTGTCACTGAAGCACATCCTGAGATAGGATGAAAACAATGCAGCTTTCGGGCTTTAAAATGACTGAATTTAACTGCCAAAAGAGTCATGAGGGCCCTGGCTGGTTTGGCTCGGCAGTTAGAGCATTGACCCATAGACCAATGAGTTACAGGTTAAAGTCTGGTCAAGGACACATACCTCAGTTGCGGTTTGTCCCTGGCCCTTGTTAGGGACGTACGAGGAGCAACCAGTTGATGTGTCTCTCTCACATCCATGTTTTTCTCTCTTCCTCTCCCATCTACTCTAATTGAAGATAAATATCCTCCAGTGAGGATTAAAAAAAAAAAAAGGCAGTGGGCACAGAACATAAATCTGTACTGTTCACCATCTGGCAACCAGAAACTGTTGAATTATGTGAAGAGTAGCTTTCACCTGCTTCTTTACATTCCATCCAAAGCAGGTAGTATTAACAACATCACTGCTAGCATTAACCCAGGAAACATAGCTTTGGTGATTTTCACAGGTTTCTGGTGCCACAGGGGTGAGTGGTGCGAGGGTTGCCTGGTTGGTGGGCGCTGAAGACAAGTGTGGGCCAGGGTGCAGTGCTGAGCCGCAGGCCCAGGCAGGCCGAGGCCCAAAGTAGCAGGCAGGGGCGCCCAACATCGCGTCCTCCACACTGGTGCTCTTGCCACAGCTGCCGTGCACAAACCTCAGAGGGTCCCTCTGTCTCCGATTTCACTCACATACGGAATCTAATGAACAAAATGAACTAATAAGCAAAATAGTGACAGACTCATAGACGGAGAGCAGGCTGACCCCTACGGGGAAGGGACAGAGTGGAGGGATGGACGGATTGAGCAAAAAAGAAAAGAAAGAAAATACTCATAGATATAATGACAGTATGGTGATTGCCATGGGGAGGTGGTGGATGGTATAGAGGGCATAAGAATACTTGACTTGGGGTGGTGAACACACAATACAGTGTACAGATGATGTGTAGAAATGTGTACCTGAAACCTATATGATTTTTTTAACCCATGTTGCCCCAATTAATTCAGTAAAAAGAAAAAAAAAATTGAAAATAATTGTCCTGCAAAATTCTTAAGAGCTGTGCAGTATTTCTTTGTGAGAATGTATGATAGTTTAGCCTGTATTTTATTTGGTTTGAGGTGAATTTTTGCTTCAACTTTCTGGCTTTTATTCTGATAAGAACACCCCCTTCCTCTGAGGAACTCTTTGTCCCCACAGTCCGTTTGTACCTGTTAACTGTGGCTGGAATAAAAGATACCATATCTTGATAAAAACTTCTGCCTGGCCACAGTGACTTGTTGAGGGACAGACCCCTAATCAAAGGTGGATTGATCAGAACATCTTACTTCTCTGTAACACTGGTTAGTCTGTGGGTTGGGCACAGAACTCAAACATGCATAACTACAGATCTATCCTCACCTGGTTTTGGGGTAAGAATTTACACTGGTGGCATAGTTTGAAAACCTCAAGCCACAAAATGAACTCAAGGTGTCCCAGATGTTATCATTGTGGCATACTGGGCTGAAGCATTTGAATCCTTCCCCAGTGTTTTTGAGGTCGGACCTGGAGAATAGAGGGCTTTTCTCTCTGGTGGTAAAGACGGGAGAACAGACATCTCAAGACAGCTGCTATTCTCGGAAAAGCTGTTCTGCAGTAGGAAAGAAGTCAGTCGGGCAGAAGGAAGTGAAAATTGGGTGCAGCAAGAAAAAGTTCTGACATTTAATGTTCCTTGAGGTGGTGACCCCCGCCCTTTCTGTTTTGTTTTGTTTTTTGGTTCCACATCCTAACTGACCTTTTGTCATTCTCAACCAAAAGATTCCTTGGAGCTGTTTTTGTTCCCGGTATCATTATCCTCTGCGAGATGAAGTTTTTGCATACATTCATGGACACCACTGCTTTTCAGGGCTAGGAATGTAGATAATGTCACCAACTGTAGGATATGCTCCAATCTCTTACACTCACGTCTGAGACCCTAAGCCATTCTGGCTCCACATCACAAGTGTCTGTCAAGTTTGGAACCTTGAGGCCATTGATTATGTCCACGTCTGATCCCCAGCATTCTCAGACCAAGTCGCTTCGGTCACCCCTTCTGCCTTGCACTTCATTCCTGTCGGCTCATCATCAGAAACCCAAATGCTCAAGAATTAGCCTCGTCTGAGAATGTTTCCTCCACTTTCTTGCTTTATCTAAACCTGATTTCCCCTTGAAGGTAATTTAGCCCTCCTTGAAATACACCCTCTCTGACATTGCTGAAGTTATTTATTTTTCTAAGAGGTGCCTTCATGCACATCCTCATTGACAAATGAAGTACCGGCTCAGATGACCTTTCTGCTAAGAAGTACTGTCTTCCCTTAGCTGACATGGTGTTCCTTCCTGTCTACATTGCAACTTTGATATACTTCCAACAAACAACATTCAGTACAATATGCAACTTCAATCCAATCCAACAGGACTGTTGGTTTTTACCCAGTTCCTCACAAGACTGTAAGCATCTTGGAAACAGGGACTGTACCTTTTAAATCTTTGTGCCCTTCGTATTGAGCACATAGGACATTCTAAATAAGTATTGGGAAGATGGATAAAAAAAAGGTCGGTTTGGCTCAGAGGTTGGAATGTCAGCCTGTGGACCAGAGAGTCCTGGGTTCGGTTCCTGCTAGGGGCACGTACCATAAAAAAGAAAAAGGGCATTTTGCTAAAGTATTTCTGAAATACAGATGTGTAATTTGAAAGATGGTGAGTAGATGGTACAGACCGAGGACCTAACAAAGGAAGAATAAAGCATCTTGAGTAACAGGATAAAGCAGAAATGTCATATGTAATATCTTAAATGATGGGATGGTAGTAAGAGTTAGTACTGAATCATGCAGTAGAGTGAGAGCCATGTCTTTCCAAGAAAAGAAAAGGATGCTGAATTTGGCAAAAGACTTGGCCATGGTTAAAGATAGCAAGAGTGGTTGCCTAGGGAGTTGTTTACGGAGCTTTATTAAACAAAGGCTGAGCCCTGGCCAGTTTGGCTCAGCAGTAGAACATCGGCCTGCGGACCAATGAGTTGTGGGTTTGATTCTGGCCAAGGGCATGTACATTGGTTGCAGTTGCGGTTGCAGTTCATCCCTGGCCCTGATCAAGGTCGTGTGGGAGGCAACCAGTTGATGTGTGTCTTTCACATTGATGTTTCTCTCTCCCTCCTTTTCTCCCTCATTTCTCCCTCTCCCGCTCTATCTGAAGATAAACAGAAAAATACCCTTGGGCCCTGGGTGATTTTGCTCAGTGGTTAGAGCATTGGCCTGTGGACCAGAGAGTCACGGGTTGAATTCAGCCAGTGGCATGTGCCTCGGTTGCAGTTTGTCCCCGGCCCTGGTCGGGGTCATGGGGGAGGCAACCAATCGATATGTCTCCCTCTGTGCACCCCCCCCCCTTGCTCCTTCCACTTTATCTGGAGATAAATGGAAAAAATATCCCCAGGTGAGGATTAAAAAAAAGAAGAAAAAGAAAAATATCCTTGGGTGAGGATTAAAGAAATAATGTAAAATAAAATAAAATAAAATAAAATAAAATAAAAACAAAGGCAGAGTTCTGTTTTGGGGAATAGCTGAAACATTTCATTCCATCTTTGTCTTAAAAATCACATACCAAACCAGAGGGACTTTTAACAGAAGCATATACTCTACCCCTGATAAATGTATTTACAGTCCTGCCCACAACATCTGAAGGCAAAAAGGGGACACGGGATTAGCAAATGACTTAATAGAATGGAGGATGACAACTTTATGTGTACCACAGAGGAGAGTAGTAGTGGGGTGTGAGACAATTTACACTGTAGAACTTCCAAAAGACTCGGGAATTAGAGTTACAAGGGTAGGCCAGTGGGCTAAAAATAGTGATTGCCTGAAAGGCTTAGTACTACCTTCTCCCCTGCAGAAAATAGAAAACCTTGGGTTTTAGTGACCTCTTGGGCAGTCAGGGATGGAGTCAGGGAAGGAAGGGCAGAGAGTTATGGTCTTGTACCACAAAAGCTGGTAAGTTACCCCTAGATATAGAGAGGGCTCTTAAAGAGCTTAACTCTGAGTGAATTAGACAAAGAACACTCAACAAACCTGGTCACCAGCCAAAGAAAACAAGGAAAATTGCCTGTCTTGACCTAGACCCTGGCAGAGAAAATTGTCCCCCATCACTAACCTCTTTTGCAACTATTCTGCCATTTTAGTGCAAAAGCAGCTGTAGACTACATGTAAATGAATTACAGTGACTCATTAACCAGCTGTGTTCCAGTTAAACTTTATTTATAGACACTGAAATTTGAATGTCATTTGATTTTCACATACCACAAAATATTCTTTGGATTTTTTTTCAACCATGTAGAAATGTAAAAGCTAGTCTTAGCTCTCTGAAAATACAAAAAGGGGTGGCAGGCTGGAATTGGCTTTTGGTTTGTAGTTTGTTGATCACTAAACTAGACTTTAAGTGAGCTTTATAAAAATTAAATGGTGATCACACACCCTGTTTCTCTCAATGCAAAAGAAGGCAAGAAAGTAAGAGGAAAAAGAGAATAGACATGGCAGGACAAATAGAAAGTGCAAAATAATGTTAGAAATAGTACTTATATTAAATGTAAATGGACTAAATTTACAGGCTAAACAATTGCCAGAATGGATTTTTTTTTAATCCAAATATATGTTTTCAAAGATACATGCCCTCTCCCCAAAAAGGAAACATACCCCAAACATAAGGGTATGTTCAAGTTAAAAGTAAAAGGAAAAGATTATACCAAAAAAAAAAAAAAAAAAACTTTAAAAAGAAAAGCTGATGTATTTTTGACAAAATATACTTTGAGACCCTTAATTATTAAGAATAAGGAAGGCACTGCATGATGATAAAAGGAGGTTTTGTTTTTTTTTAACAAGGAAGATATAATAATTCTAAACTGTAATGTACCTAAAAATATTGTCTAGTGTATATATATATGTACCTAACAATATAGACAGATACATATATATATATAAATATATAGCTATGATATGTACATGTAATAAAAACTTACAGAACTGCAAAAAGAAGCTGACAAACACATCATGGTAGCAGAATATTTGAACATAAGTTTTTAAGTGGTTGAGAGATCAGACAGATAAAAATTTGTTAAGGTTATAGAAGATTTAATTCCTTTCTGTTGGACATATAGATTATCCTATACCCAACGATTGCGTGGATAAAAGTCATTCTTAACTATTTTGAAGTTTTATGAAAATTGATCATATACCAGGCTAAAAAGCAAGCTCATCAATGTCAGAAATCAGGATGCGACAAATTGAGCTAGGTGGCAAAAGAGAATCATAACAGAAAAGAATTTAAACTTAAACTGTAATGAAAATGCCATGCAAACAGTACTTGTGGCCTAAGCTAAAGTGGTACCCAAAGGCAAATTGCAGAGTCTTAACTCACTTATTAGAATAAAGGTCTAAAAATCAATGAGTTAGAAGACCAACTTTATATATCCAAAAAAGAATAAATTCAAAGGAAAAAAAGAGGAACATGTCATAATTTTTGACAATTTCTTTTAGAAAGAATACACCCTGGCTCATTTTAGAGACCAGTATATCCAGACAAGTACATCATGAAAAAGGAAATTTATAGGTTATTTTCATTTGTGAATCTAAATTAAAAAATTAGGAAACCAAGTCCAACAGTGTTTTTTAAAAAGCATAAAAACATCATAACTGAATTTGGATTTATTCTTGGATTGTAAGCAAGTCCAATTATCAAAAAGAAGACAATTTTCAAGTTAATCTATAAATTAAATTCAATCAAAATCCCAAAGGCACTTAAAAAAAAAAAAAATAGAACTTGACCAGATGATTAAGTTTTATAAAAGAGGTAAGAGTGAAAAATAATCAAAAACAATTTTGGAAAAGAACAAGGCAGCGGCAGTGGTGAGGGGGTAGGGGAAGACTTCTCCATTAGATATTAGATTAATTATAAAGTTTCTATATACCTTATTATAAAATAACAGTAACCACTTTTACTATTCTACATCCCAGTTCCTGGCACATAGTAGGCACTCAGAAATATGCTAAGTAAATGAAGCACATCTTTGAAAGTAGCAGAAAAGGCGAAGATTAAAATGGGAAAGGAGGAGAACTGGCTGAAACAATAAGGCACACCATGGAAAGTAGGAGGATGAAATAGGCGACAGGAGAAAAGGTGTGTCTGAGAGCAAGTCTGGTGGGAGATGTATAACATAAGTGAGACGCAAATAACATGTAGTTGTGGATGACCTTGACTTCAGACATTTAAATTAGGGCTGTTGCCAACAGCAGACATTTTATTTTATTTATTTATTTATTTATTTATTTATTTATTTATTTATTTATTTTTATCCTCACCCGAGGACATTTTTCCATTTTTTGTACAGATAGAGTGGGAGGGAGAGAGAGAGAGAGAGAAACATCGATGTGAAAGGGACACATCGAGTGGCTGCCACCCGCACGACCAACCAGGGCCGGGGACAAACTGCAACCGAGGTACGTGCCCTTAGCGGGAACCGAACCCGGGTCTCTCCGGACCGCAGGCCGACGCTCTAACCGTTGAGCCAAACCGGCCAGGGCGACAGCAGACATTTTAGATTACCTGCCAGTTATTTGAGTCCAAAGTTTGGTGGCCAGTGGCCTAATCCATTTGCACTAATGATTTATTCAGCTCATATTTAATAAGCTCCTTTGTACCCAGCACTGTATCAGAAGCTAGGATTTTAATGATGAGTACTATCAGATATTAACCTTGTCCTCATGTGCAGTCTGCTACCACACCACTCCTTTTGTTCAGAATGTTTAGAATGTGGGTGTATCCAGCCTAAAATATTTTCAAAGCCTGGATTCACTTTTATGAAAATAAGATTTTGAAAGTTACATTAACCGTAGAAATTGAAATTCATTGCTTTTCATTTCACCAGGAGTTAGAATCTGTAATAATAAGCTATATAGCAAATGCTTTTCCTAATTAAATTGCATATGATTTTTGTTATTAGAAACATATAGTACCTTGACAACTACATTTTGGTAATAGTTTGTTTTGGCTGGTGATATGTATCAGTATATGAACTTTTGTACAAGTGATCTGAGAAATACAGAATACATTCCTGGCATGTCCTGGTGGGTATTATCAAGCATGGCTCTCTCTCACCTTCTTTTCTCATGTGTCCTTTTGCAGGAATTGTATTTGCACATTATGGTCCAATCTGGAGACAACAGAGGAAGTTCTCTCATTCAACTCTTCGTCATTTTGGATTAGGAAAACTTAGCTTAGAGCCCCACATTATTAAGGAGTTCAAATACGTGAAGGAGGAAATGCAAAAGCATGGAGAAAACCCCTTCAACCCTTTCCCCATTGTCAACAATGCCGTCTCTAACATCATTTGCTCCTTGTGCTTTGGCCGGCGCTTTGATTACACCAATAGTGAGTTTAAGAAAATGCTTAATTTTATGTCACGAGGGTTAGAACTCTCTCTGAACGTCCAGCTGCAATTTATCAACATATGCTCCTGGCTTTATTACCTTCCCTTCGGACAATTTAAGGAATTAAGACAAATTGAAAAGGACATTATCACTTTCCTTAAAAAAATCATCAAAGACCATCAAGAGTCACTGGATGCTGAGAACCCTCAGGATTTCATAGATATGTACCTTCTCCAGATGGAGGAAGAGAAGAAAAATAATAGCAATGGTAGTTTTAATGAAGACTACTTACTTTATATCATCGGTGATCTCTTCATTGCTGGGACTGACACCACGACTAACTCTCTGCTTTGGTGCCTTCTGTATATGTCACTGAACCCTCACATACAAGGTAATGAATAGATGCTTTCTTTATTAATAGCAAAATGAGGTTATTTAAATTAGCATCAGCAACCTTGGTGATCCTGTGGCTCTTGGCACTAAGCAGTGAAGCGGTGTGAGCAGTGAAACTCCATGTTTCCAGACAGTGTCACATGTGCGTCCCCTGCTTTAAACCTCTGCAGGTCTGCTCTGTGTGGAATCTATGATAAAGAAAGAACTTGAGAGAGGAATAACAATTTAGAGCTGAAGGGAATCATAATGATCATCTAAACCCATTCATCTTGTTTGAAAATGGAGAACAGAGGCCCAGAGAAGTTATGTGACTTTCACAAGTTCACACAGCTAGTTCCACAACATCAATACCAATAGGCAGTGAATGCCAGTGGCAGTTCATAGTAGAAGAACTCAGGGGAGGACAGTGTATTAGTTTTCTGTTGCTCCTATAACAAATAATCACATACTTAGTGACTTAAAACAATGCAAATTTGTTATCTTCTAGTTCTGTACATTAGAAGTCTGACACATGTCTCATTGGGTTGAAATCAAGATGTTGGCAGGGCTGCATTCCTTGGAGGCTCTAGAGGAGAATCCATTTCCAGCCTCCTTAGCTCATGATTCTCTTCCTCCATCTTTGAAGACAGAAATATTGAATCTCTGACCATTCACCCATAGTCACATTTCTCTCTGATTCTAAACCCAACTGGGAAAAATTTCCCAATTTAAAAACCCATGTAATGAGATTGGGCATAACCAGAAAATCTAGGATAATCTCCCCATCTCAAGGTCCTTACTTTAATCATACCTGTAAAGTCTCTTTTGCCAGGTAAGATGCATATTCACAGGTTTCAGGGGATTAGGTTATAGACATATTTGAAGGACCATTTTTTTGCCTACTATAGATGGGATTTGCCTACCTGCACTATTTAATCTATTGCTGAGTAATACATTATCCCAAATTTAGTGGCTTGAAACAACATCTCACAAAGTTTCTGAGGATCAGAAATCCAGGAGCAGCTTAGCCTGGATGGTCTGACTTTAGATTTCTCATGAGGTTATAGTTGAATCTGGCTGGAGTTGCAGTCATCTATAAACTTGACTGGGACTGAAGGATCCACTTCCAAGATGGCTCATCCTCTTGACTACTGGCTGCAGGGCTTAACTCTTGGGACTTTCCATAGGGCTGCTTGACTTGGCCCAAGAGAGAGTGAATGGCCAGGACAGGAGCCACGATGTCTTTTATAACCTAAGTTCAGAAATGAAATCCAACTCTTCTCCCTTACTCTATTGGTCACTTAGACCAATTTGGTACAAAGTGGGAGGGGACTGCGTAAGAATGTGTAAACCAAGCTCTGGCCTGTGTGGCTCAGTCGGTTGGGCATTGTCTGGTATACAAAAAAGTTGCCAGTTCAATTCCTGGTCAGGGCACATGCCCAACTTGTGGGCTTAATCTCCCAGTAGGCGGAATACAGGAGGCAGCCAATCAGTGTTTTGCTCTCACATTGATGTTTTTCTCTCTCCCTCTCCCTTCCTCTCTCTCTCAAAACCCATTTTACAAAATTAAAAAGAATGTGTAAATCAAGAGGCATGAGATCATTGGGGTTGGGCTAACATACATTGTCATATATAAAAGTCAGTCATGTTCACATGAGAGAATGATTCAAAGTGCTCCTGGATACAGAATGCTTTCTCCTTTGCCCATCTCTCTGTTCTGTTATCCTCCAAAGTCACAAAGTGGAACAGGGTCCCTGAGGCTAGCTGGCTCTGCTTGGAATGATCTGACCAGTGCTTCACTCACTCAGGCCAAGTCAGGCCTGTGCTGCCCCGTTACTGGTGTGTGAACAAGATGATAGAGAGTGGGTGTAGGAGGGCAGTCTTAACTCACTCCTGGCTTATCTTCTAGTTTGTTCTTTCCTTTTTTATATAGAAAAGGTTCATGAAGAAATTGAAAGGGTCATTCATCCCGGCCGAGCCCCTTCCCTGACTGACAAGGCCCAGATGCCCTACACAGAAGCCACCATCATGGAGGTGCAGAGGCTGACTACGGTAGTGCCACTTGCCATTCCTCATATGACCTCAGAGAAAACAGGCAAGTCTAGAGCCTTCCTCCTTTGAATGCCTTTGTGAGATGCCCAGCCCCTTGATCCAGGGGAGTTGAGGTGAGGGTACGATGACTGTCACCTAGCTTGATCCTTTGGTGGTTTAGCATTGTGTCGTGGATATTCAAATGTCCAGGGAATGCCTCAGCCCACAGCTGTCTGTTCTTTATTGTCCTGGCATTCCAGCACAGCTTGTTTTGTAAGCAGCTCTCTGGTCTTCAGAGCACAGATGTTCACACTGGTCGAACAAATTATGCCACCATCAGCAGTGGCTGCATTGACAGAAGACACTCAGGCACCCACCTCTCAGTCCTCCTTAGGGGTCAGAAGAGCTAGTCTAAACTTGGAATCAAGGATTTTAACCTGGAATTATCCTACTTCAGTTGTTATAATTCTGCAACTGAAGCATAAATATTAAAGAATTAGAAGATCCCATATGATTCTAAGGGTACCTGTTTCAACCTCTTATAGTGAAATGTGTCCTTTTGGTCATGCCCTTGACATACAGGGTGGGGCAAAAGTAAGTGTACAGTTGTTCATATGGCAAATAACATAATAAATAATAATATAAGAATAAATAATACAAGAATATTATTATACAATAATAATAATGTATTAATAAATAATAATACAAGAATAACCTATTTCACATACTCCCACTCTAAACCTGCTTTTGCCCCACTCTGTACAGACTCTGTAAACATACCTCATTACAAGGAATGTACCTTCTTGGAGACAGTCATGATGTAATAAGCTTAAATCCAGTTATGAGACAGTTGTAGGAGACAATCACTTATAAATGACACTGGATCATTTAAGAAGTTATTTGGTACAAATTAGATACACTGTGTACAGTATCTTTTGGGCATTGTTTAAAGTGCATATGAATTTTTCAGCTGGTTAAGAGGCAGTGCTGATTTCCCTGAAACATCCTTTTACCTTAGTTTACCTTTCTCATTATATTGTATGGACATAAAAGATTGTAAAATATAAAGTTTTATATAAATATTAGAAATTTATATTCTTTGGGAAAGGTGACCTGGTATGCCCAGTGATTTCTGTTTTGGTGCTTTCTCTTGATTGTAATGTTTTTGTGGTCTGATATAATTCATTAACTCAACATCCATCAAAGCAACTTCAGGTTGGGTCCTGGGGTGGTATGGAGAAAGGGATGCCAGTTGATAAGGTCCTGCCCTTGCTTGCAAGTACTTTAAGGTTTAGCCTCAGCAAATTAAGAAGGTAGGTATGTAACTTAATATTCTTTAAATAGTGATGTTTACAAAGAACTAGTAGTAAAAAACATGCTGAGGAGAAGGGAAGATGGCGGCAGGCAGGACCGGAGGGAGGGTGAGTGTGTGAGAGAGTGAGCAAGTGTCTGAGAGAGTGTGAGTGGATGTGAAGGTGGATGACCAAACCCCAGCAGTGCAGAGCCGCAAGGTAGAAAGTTTGTGTGCTGTGGATGGGAGAAGCCAGTTACCACGGTAAGTGGCCCCAAAGGGCTCCTCTCCCTGCGCCACAGGAAGGTCCCACCATTTTGGAAGATCCCGAATCTTCCCTGGGAGGAGGCAGTGGGAGCAGCTAGGGCCCAGCAACCTGAGCCCACCAGCACACCTGGCACCATTGGACCAGTGGACACTCTGTGTCAACACAGACCAGTGCACAGTAGTGGAACTCCCAAGGTGCTGGTCATGGAAGCCGCAGACAGCCCGGAGCCCAGCATCATCCCCCATAGTAGCAGCCCGAACAGAGTCGAGATATACCCCCAACAACAGAGGCTGGGAGCAGACATCCATTCCCAGGAAACAGAAGCACAGACCAGCAGCTGAGACCTATCCCCAAAAACTACAGCAAAAGCTGAGCAGGAGTTGAGCCCTAATGAGTAGCAGCACTCCCCAGTTGTCAGCGGCGGGACCTGGGGCTCCACAGAGGCCTGTGTGGTCCAGTAACCCACAAGAGCAGTGTGAAGCTGGAGCCCCAGAGAGACTGGTGCGATCCAGCTGCCCACAGGAACTGCAGGGTGTGGGGGCACCAGAGAGGACTGTGCGACCCAGCAGGGACTGCACGATCTAGTTACCCACGGGGCCTGTGGGGTGCTGAAGCACCAGAGAGGCCTGTTGCGACCCAGCAGCCCATAACATAGGCATAGAGCCAGGTCCCCAAAGGGACTGTGCTGTCCAGTTACCCGTGGGACCTGCAGGGTGCGGGTGCACCAGAAAGTCCTGTGCGACCCAGCTGCACACAAGACAGGTGTAGAGGATGTGAAAATGGAGGCGGAGTGAATAGAAGTTACCCAGACGATCTCCCAAGACCAAACTGGAATTACAACTAAAATAAAGACAAATCCTCAGAAAAAGCAACAGAGAAACAGCAAGACAGGACCAAATAACCAGGGACACTGGTAGGATGTGTGGAGGCACGAGAGGGTGGCAGGCTGGGAGCCCACGGACAGCTGCAGTCTTAGCTGTGAGCACTGCCCTTGGGGAATAAAGACCAAGCCCACTCCACAGCACAGAAAGCTTGGACAGAGCACTGAAATAGCCACAGCCACTCACCTAGGGGCTATGGCAGAGGGAGGCCAGACTGGGCTGGAACTCTGTAGGGATACCAGGGATTTGGGGGGCACTCAGAGTTTTTGCTGAGTTGTGGCCACAAAGGACAGTGGCCAGTGTGCTCCTTCCCCAAGTTGTGGGGGAAAGCAGCTGCAGCCCCACCCCAGCCTCAGATATTCAGCCTTTCCCAGGTGAGGCAAAAAAATGCAAATTCAGGCCCATTAGCAACCAGCATCTATCCCTATGGAAATCCTCTTATGCAGAACACCAGGGCTACATTCCAAGTACTGAGCAACTGAGACTACTAGCTACCAAGAAGAAGCTAGAGGATAACTGAACCTTTCCTTGGCTTGCAAATCTACCCAGGAAAGTGAGACTTGACAGGGTTTTCAACGTGGGCCCAACCAGGCTCATCCAAACCCAGTAGAGGGAGCCACAAACAGCAGAACACCACCACCCACAGGAAAAATTGGGCAGGCTCCAAAACCCACTGAGATAGCCAAAATGGTGAAACAAAGAAACAAATCCCAAAATGAAAGAACAAGAGAACTCTATTGAAGATGGGATCAATGAAAGGCAGCTAAGCCTTTATCAGAGGTAGAGTTCAGAGCCATGATCTTCAGGAAGCTCAACAGCATGAGTAAGGACATCAGCACCATGAGTAAAGATATAGAAACACTGAAAACCAACCAAGTGGAAATGAAGAATGACATAGCAGAAATTAAGAACACATTAGAAAGACTAACCAGCAGGGCAGAGGAAGCTGAGGACCGGGACAACTGGAAACGTAATAACATTCACATCATAGGAGTCCCTGAAGAGGAAGAAAATGGGCAAGGGTTAGAGAATATATTTGAAGAAATAGTGACAGAAAACTTTCCTAACATGGTGAAGGAAGAAGGCACTCAAGTTCAAGAAGCACAGAGTGCCCCAAGTAAGAAGAACCCAAACAGGCCCACACCAAGACACATAGTAATTAAAATGCCAAAAATTAAAGACAAAGAGAGAATCCTAAAGGAAGTAAGAGATAAGCAACAGGTTACCTACAAAGGAAACCATAAGGCTCTCAGCTGACTTCTTAACAGAAACACTACAGGCCAGAAGGGAATGGCATGAAGTAATCAAGGTAATGAACAACAAGGATCTGAATCCAAGACTACTCTATCCAGCAAGGCTATCATTCAAAATAGAAGGTCAAATAAGGAGCTTTCCAGACAAAAAAAAAATGCTAAGGGAATATATTAACACCAAACCAGCACTGCAAGATATGCTAAAAGGAATGCTGTAATTAGAAGAAATAGGAAGAAAAATAGAACCACACTAATCAAAAATGGCGATAAATAAGTACATATCAATTATCACCTTAAATGTGAATGGTTTGAATGCTCCAATAAAAAGACACAGAGTAGCTGATTGGATAAGAAAGCATGACTCACATATATGTTGTTTACAACAGACCCACCTCACAACAAAAGACTCACATAGGTTGAAAGTGAAGGGATGGAAAAAAAATCTTTCAAGCAAACGGAAAGAAAAAAAAGCTGGGGTAGCAATACTCATATCTGATAAAGTAGATTTCAAAATGAAGGCCATAAGTAGAGACAGAGAAGGCCACTACATAGTATTGAAAGGATCTATCCAACAGGAAGATATAACCTTGGTAAACATATGCACCAATATAGGAGCACCAACATATATCAAAAATCTTTTGGAGGACTTCAAAGGAGAAACCAACAGCAATACAATCATAGCAGGGGACTTCAATACCCCACTGACATCACTGGATAGATTTTCTAGACAAAAAATTAACAAGGAAACACAGACTCTAAATGAAGTGCTAGATCAAATGGATTGAATAGATATCTACAGAGAATTACACCCCAAAACTGCAGAATTCACATTCTTCTCAAGTACACATGGAACATTCTCAAAGATAGACCACACGTTAGGGCACAGACTTAGTTTGTTTAAGAAAACTCAAATCACAATGGCATGAAACTAGAAATCAATTGCAACAAGAATATGCAATGACATTTGAAAACATGGAGGCTAAATAGCATGTTATTGAACAATGAATGGGTTACCGAGGAGATCAAGGAAGAACCTAAAAACTTCCTGGAAACCAATGAAAATGAACACACAACAACATAAAATCTATGGGATGCAGCAAAAGCAGTTCTGAGAGGGAATTTCATAGCACTACAGGCCCTCAAGAAGCAAGAAAAATTTCTAATAGACTATCTAACCTCACAACTTAAAGAGCTAGAAAGCAAACAAAAAGAAAGTCCCAGAGCAAGTAGAAGGAAGGAAATAGTCAAGATCAGAGCAGAAATAAACGACATGGAGACCAAAAAAACAATTCAAAGGATCAATGAAACAAAGACCTGATTCTTTGAAAAGATAAACAAGATTGATGGACCCTTAGCTAGACTCACCAAGAAACAAAGAAAGAGAACCCAAATACACAAAATCAGAAAGGAAAGAGGAGAAATATTAACTGACAACACAGAAATACAAAGGATTGTTAACAAATATTATGAACAATTATACGGCAACAAATATTCTGAACAATTATACGGCAACAAATTTGACAATCTAAGCAAAATGGACAAATTTCTAGAAACACATAGTCTCCCAAAACTGAATCGGGAAGAGATAGAAAACTTTAACAGTCCAATAAAAACAAAAGAAATTGAAGATGTAACAAGACTCTCCCAGCAAACAAAAGTCCAGGCCTGGACAGCTTCACGGGAGAATTTGACTGAACATTCAAAGAAGAACTAATACCCATTCTCCTCAAACTATTTCAAAAAATTCAAGAAGAAGGAACACTTCCAAACTCGTTTTATGAGGCCAGATAAGTCTCATTCCACAACCAGAAAAAGACACTACAAAGAAATAAAACTACAGGCCAATATCCCTGATGAACATAGATGCCAAAATCCTGCACAAAATACTAGCAAATCGAAACCAGCAATACATCAAAAAAATTATTCACCATGACCAAGTGGGATTCATCATGGGGACACAAGGCTGGTACAATATTTGCAAGTCAATAAATGTGATGCACCACATAAACAAAATGAAAGTATAAAAATCATATGATCATATCACTAGACACTGAAAAAACATTAGACAAAATCCATTACCCATTTCTGATAAAAACGCTTAGTAATCTGGGAATAGAGGGATCATATCTCGACATAATAAAGGCCATATATGAAAGACCTACAGCCAACATCATACTCAATGGGCAAAAATTAAAAGCATTCCCCTTAAGAACAGGAACAAGACAAGGATGCCCACTTTCGCCACTCTTATTTAACATAGTACTGGAAGTCTTAGCCACAGCAATCAGACAGGAAGAAAAAATAAAAAGGATCTAAATTGGAAAGGAGGAAGTGAAACTGTCATTATTTGAAGATGACATGATACTATACGTAGAAAACCCCAAGGACTCCATCAAAAATTTACTAGACTTAATAAATTATTTTGGCAAATTAACGTCAAGAAATTGATGGCATTCTTATACACCAATGATGAAGTCACAGAAAGAGAAACTAAAAAAAAAAACAAAAAACAAAAAACAAAAAAAAACAATCCCATTTACCATTGCAACAAAAATATTAAGATACCTAGGAATAAACTTAACCAAAGAAGTAAAGGACCTATTTGCAGAAAACTACAGGTCATTGAAAAAATAAATAGAGGAAGACATAAAAAAGTGGAAGCATATACCTTGTTCATGGATTGGAAGAATTAACATCATGAAAATGTCTGTATTACCCAAAGCAATCTATAGATTCAGTGCAATCCCTATCAAAATACCAAAGACATACTTCACAGAACTAGAACAAATACTTCAAAATTTAATATGGAACCAAAAAAGACCTCGAATAGCCACAGCAATCTTGAAAAAGAAGAACAAAGTAAAAGGGATCACGCTACCAGATTTTAGGTTATACTACAAAGCCACTGTAATCAAAACAGCCTGGTACTGGCACAAGAACAGGCATATAGACCAGTTGAACAGAACAGAGAACCCAGAAATGGACCCAAGGCAATACACTCAATTAATATTTGACAAAGGTGGCAAGAGCATACAGTGGAGTAAAGACAGCCTCTTTAATAAACAGTGTTAGGAAAAAATAAAACTATGCCCTGGCCAGTTTTGCTCAGTGGTTAGAGCATTGGTCTGTGGTCCAGAGAGACTCAGGTTTGGTTCCCGTTAAGGGCACGTACCTTGGTTGCAGGTTGTCCCTGGCCATGGTTGGGTTGCGCAGGTGGCAGCCACTCAATGTGTCTCTTTCACGTCGATGTCTCTCTCTCTCTCTCTCTCTCCCCCCCTCCCACTATTACAAATATTAAAAAAAAAAAAAAAAAAATGAAACTAGACCATCCACTTACACCATACACAAGAATGGATAAAAGATTTAAATGTGACTCGTGAATCCATAAAAGTCCTAGAAGAAACTGCAGGCAACAAAATTGCAGACATCATACGCAACAGAATTTTCACTGATACATCACCTAAGGCAACAGAAACAAAGGAGAAAATGCACACATGGGACTACATCAAACTCAAAAACTTCTGCACAACAATAGATACAATCATCAAAATGGAAAGGCAACCCACTATGGGAGAGCATCATTGCCAATGATATATCAGATAAGGGGTTAATTTCCAATATATGTAGAGTGCTCATACAACTCAACAAAAGGAAGACAAAGAATCCAATTAAAAAATGGGCAGAGGAACTAAATAGACACCTCTCCAAACAGGATATACAAATGGTGAAAAGACATATGAAGAAATGCTCAACATCACTAATCATCAGAGAGATGCAAATTAAAACAACTAAGAGGTATCATCTCACACCTCCCAGAATGGCTGCCATCAACAAAGCATCAAACAACAAGTGCTAGTGAGCATGTGGAGAAAAGGGGACTCCAGTACACTGCTGGTGGGAATGCAGACTGGTGCAACCACTATAGAAAACAGTATGGTGTTTCCTCAAACAATTAAAAATTGAACTTCCATTTGACCCACTGATCCCACTTCTAGGAATATACCCTAAGAAGCCTGAAACACCAATTAGAAAGGATATATGTACCCCCATGTTCATAGCAGCACTATTTACAATAGCTAAGATCTGGAAACAGCCCAAATGTCCATCAGTAGACGAATGGATAATAAAACTGTGGTACATATACACAATGGAGTACTATGCAGCTGTAAGAAAGAAAGATCTCTTATCCTTTGAGACGACATGGAGGGACCTGGAAAGTATTATCCTAAGCGAAACAAGCCAAACAGAGAAAGTCAAGTATCATATGATCTTACTTGTTTGTAGAATATAATGAACATAACAGTCTGAGGAATGGGGTAGTCCCAGAGACGTGGAAGTGGGGTACAGACTGACAATCCCAGAAGAGGGGGTAGTGGGGGAGATATAAACCATAGAACTTATATGCATGTATGCATGAACAATGGACATGGACAACAAAGATGGGGACAGGGTGGGGGAGGAGAGGGGGTAGTCAGTGGGGGGGGGGGGGTAACATCTATAACAAAAATAAATAAATTACCCTGGCCAGTTTGGCTCAGCGGTTAGAGTGTCAGCCTGCAGTCCAGAGAGACCTGGGTTCGGTTCCCTCTAGGGGTGCGTGCCTCGGTTTGTCTCCGGCCCCGGTTGGTCATACGGGTGGCAGCCACTTGATGTGTCCCTTTCACATCGATGTTTCTCTCTCCTCTCTCCCTTCCACTCTATCTGAAATAAAAATGGAAAAATGTCCTCTCTGGTGATGATAAAATTAATTAATTTTTTTTTAAAAAGCATGCTGAATGACACTATTTTGTTTTGTTTTGTTTTAGTGCTCCAAGGGTATACTATTCCTAAAGGCACAGTGATAATACCGAATTTGTGGGCAGTGCACAGAGACCCAGCCATTTGGGAGAAGCCTAATGATTTCAACCCTAATCGATTTCTGGATGATCAAGGAGAGCTTATTAAAAAAGAAACATTTATTCCTTTTGGCATAGGTCAGTTAAACTTTTATTTTCTTAATGGGATAATTAAAAATGAGAATCTTTTATTATTTCATAATACTGTTTTTAAAATGTTTCTTGGCAAGCTAATATAAGAGATCATTGAGATAATATATCTCCACTACATTCATTTCAGATTTTAAAAACAAAATGAAAGCAATTTGGTTTTAAATATGCCTAGAAATCTGCATTTCTGAACTTCTCAGATGATTGTTTGAGTGCCAGGGAACTGCCGGCGTTAAGAGCAACTCTTGACCTGTTAGGTTGGTGGTGAGTGAGAGGAGAGTTCTCTACTCTCAGCAGCCCCTCTTTTAGGTTCCTAGATTAGGACCTATAGGATTCTTTGTATAGAAAAGGAATGCTCTGGAGAGTCTTAGTCTAATTTATTTTCTCCCTAATCAGCCAGGTTAAGAGTGCAGGAAAGAAATAAGTAGGTATCTAAGTAGGAGGAGACAAGGTAGCCACCACATGGGATCCTGCCTAGTATAATGATAGACTTTTATGAGTAGGAGTTAAAATGTGAGATTCATATGTAAAAATTCTGATCAGCATTGCTGTGGGAGGTCATGTGGTATATGGGGCAATTATTATTAGAAACTCTGTATCTGCATTTAAAACACTAAATTTAGATATTTCAAATAAATGTGTCCTTTTTGAGATGGGAAAATGGGTGGTATTGTAATGCTGACTTTTTTTCTGATCGTGTTTTAGGGAAGCGGGTGTGCATGGGAGAGCAGCTGGCGAAGATGGAACTGTTCCTTATGTTTGTGAGCCTGATGCAGAGTTTCACATTCGCTTTACCTAAAGATGCTAAGAAGCCTCTTCTGACTGGAAGATTTGGTCTAACTTTAGCCCCATATCCATTTAATATCATCATTTCAAAGAGATAAAGAACACCTCCAAAAAGAGATGGTGATCAGAATGTAAATACGTCTTTCTAATCACATTCTTCCTTCTGCAGTGGACAGTGGATCCAGGTTAGGCTCAAGTTAGACTGAGAGGGTGGAACATAGGGGAGCTTTCATCTTGGGGGATTTCTAGCAGGATACTTTGGCCATTTTATTAAAGCTTGTCTGTGAGTCAGGGGATGGGACCAAAGTACTGGATCAGGAAGCAGGCGATCTGGATTTTATTCCCAGTGGCTTCCAACAATGAGCATTTCTTCTCCTCTGTCAGTGCCTTAGTCATTTTGTGTGATAACAAAATTTGCCTTCTATCTCTCAGCACAAACCAAGGTCAGATGCCCCATATCTTTTCTGACATTGCCAAAACACTGTTCAGTTCTGGAGAACAAGTTTAGGAACAGAGGAAGACCAGCCTGTTTCAGACCTGTGACAACACAAAAGTGGTATTTAGACTTGAGTACTTGGTCAGAAAAGGACGTGCGTTTAGGGTGAGTTACAGCTTTGCTTGCCACAGGCCCTATGCCAGTTTGGGGGTGGGGACTGTTTTGTTCTCGTTAATTTCTTTCTCTCTCTTTTTTTTTTTTTTTATGATTTTAGTTTTTACTTTTTGTAGACATGGCAGGAAGTGGACCCTGGTCCAGTAATGTTGAGGAAAGGTTACAGTCTGAATTTTTATGTCTACCTTCTATGTCAACAACAGCCTGGCTGAAGAAGTGGCCTCATGGCACTTCATAAGACTTCTCCTAAACTTTCTGATGAGTTTACTTGCAAAGATACAGCGCTGCCTTTTGACTTGAGCCCTGAATAGTGAGCTTAGAAATTTTGATACTGGGATTCAGATTGTTCTGAATTCTTTCCTATTCTCCTTGCCCAGTATGCCAGTGCTGCTCCCAATGAGAACACAGTCCACAGAAGGACGAGTCTTTCTTTATTCACCCATAGTACTCCTTCCTCATATAGAAGTAATCATGATAATAATATTAACAACCATATTTTTTAGCCTTTCCTTCTACTGACACCATTTTTAATGCTTTACTTGTCAGCATACATAATCCTTACAGAAAATTAAGAGGATGCCATTTTGTAGCTGGTAAAGCCAACACGTATGGAGAACGTTCATGCACCTAGAGAAAGGGTACCATTGTTCAAGTCAAACTTACCCGTCTTTGTGCCTGGAGGTTGTTTCTGAACCACTTCTCTGTACTGCCAGGACTTGATCCCATAGCAGTCTACCCCTCTGCAGTTTCAATATAGACAAATGAAATACAGGCTAATCTTTAGCTGCCGTGAGGATTTTTGTTAATAATAAAAAATTTAAAAAAACAACCAATAAACTAAATGCCCAGAAACAAACTGTAAGAGGCTGTTGTATAGATTTTCGATGAGATATATGTGTAGATTAAAGTGCACCTGGAGCAGGACAGGTATGTTCCTGATTTGGAATTTCACATGCTTCTGAACTGTACTAATACCTTTATACACACTTAATTTCAACCTTCCTAACAAAAGCTTGTAGCTTACATGGGCAAAAAAACTGTTCTGTGAGACTATGTTGAAATCAGATGTTTATTAAACTCTTAAATACAATGTCTCACACTGTTGCACTTTAAAATCAGCTTTATATGGTAAGTCACTGGAAGGGCTACTAATGCTTTCCTTGCACATGTTGATGTTTTAGGGTTTTATACTTTATGATTTGTTTGAAAAGTAAAAATGGTAGTACTTTGTTTTAGAAATCTGCCAAAAATCTAATTTTTAGTCTTCATCTTTAGCATAATTTTTATGCTTTTATTAAACATTCTATTTTAACTTTGATAGTGTCATGTCTGGTTTTTTGTTTCTTGTTTTATTTTAACTGCTAAACCAAATTCTGTTTTACCAGATGCCAAGTTAGGAAATGGAAGAGGGAGTAGACCTCCAAGAAGAGCCACAGTATTATATAAGCATTTAGACAGGGGGGTACCAGTTACTCTGAGAACTGTCTCAGCCCAAGTTTCCCATTTGCCACGTCAGAGCCCAACATTATTTGAGGAAAGGATGAATCTAAACAAGCTCTTGTGGCCGAGTATTTTTTAAATTTATTTTTCAGTTACAGTTGATATATATTGGTTTCAGGTATATAACATAGTGATTAGACATTTATATGCATTTTGATGTGATCACTCCGTTAAGTCTAGTACCCATCTGACACCATACATAGTTACAATATTAACTATATTCTCTAAGCTGTACTTTACATCCCTGTGACTATAATTGACAATTTGTATTTCTTAGTCTCTTTCACCTTTTTCACTCATTGCCCCAACACCCCTCCCATCTGGCAACTATCAGTTTATCTTTATCCATGAGTTCATTTCTGTTTTGTTTATTTTGCTTTTTAGATTCCGCATATAAGTGAAATCTTATGGTATTAGTCTTTCTCCATCTGACATGTTTCAGTCAACATAACAAGTAGCTGCAAATGGCAAGATTTCATTCTTTTTTTATGGTCAAGTGATATTCATTTAATATATGTGCCACCTCTTCTTTATCCACTCATCTACTGATGGACACTTAGGTTGCCTCCATATCTTGGCTATTGTAAATCTTGGCTCCAATAAACACAGGTGTGTATATATCTTTTTGAATTAATGTTTTGTATTTCTTCAGATAAAATCCAGAAGTAGAACTGCTAGGTCACATGGTAGTTATGTTTTTAATTTTTTGAGGAACCTCCATACTGTTTTCTTAGTGACTGCACCAATATACAATGCCAACAGTGCACTGAAGTTCCCTTTTCTCTACATCTTCTGCAACGCTTGTTGCTTGTTGATTTTTTTTATCTTCACCCGAGGACATTTTTGTATGTATCTTCAGATAGAGTGGGAAGGACAGAGGGAGAAAGAGGGAGAGGGAGGAAGAGAAAGAAACATTGATGTGAGAGAGACACATTGACTGGCTGCCTTCTGCACAACCCCGACCAGGGCCGGGTATGAACCGCAACTGAAATACATACCCTTGGCCAGAATCGAACCTGTGACTCATTGGTCCATGGGCCAATGCTCTAACCACTGAGCATAACTGGCCAGGCCATTCTGCCTATTTTTTAATCAGATTGTTTTTGTTTAAGTTGTATAAGTTCCTTATATAGTTTAGATATTAACCCCTTATCAGGTGTATAATTGGCAAATCTCTTCTCCCATTAATTGTCTTTTCATTTTGTTGATGGTTTCTTTCACTGCAAAAATCTTTTTTTTTTTTTTTTTTTTTTTAGGTAGAGTGGAAGGGAGAGAGAGGAACAGAGAGAGAAACTTCGATGTGAAAGGGACACATCAAGTGGCCGCCACCCGCACGACCGACCAGGGCCGGGGACAAACTGCAATGGAGGTACGCGCCCTTAGCGGGAACCGAACCCGGGTCTCTCAGGACCGCAGGCCGACGCTCTAACCGCTGAGCTAAACCGGCCAGAGCTCACTGTGCAAAAATCTTTAGGGTTCTCCCTAGATGGCCTTTATTATGTTGAGGTATGCTCCCTTTGTTTCCACTTTACTGAGAGTTTTTATCACAAATGGATGTTGGATTTGTCAAATTCTTTTTCTGCATCTATTTATGTCCTGTGATTTTTATACTTCATTTTGTTTATGTGGCATATCAGGTTAATTGATTTGTGGGTACTGAACCAATCTTGCATCCCAGGACTGAATCCCACTTAATCATAGTGTATGATCTTTTTAATGTATTGCTAAATAGTTTGCTAATGTTTTCTTGAGGACTTTTGCACCACATCAGGGATGTGGCCTATAATTTTCTTTCATTTTTTTTGTAGTGTCTTTGTATGTTTTGGTATCAGGAGAATGCTGGTCTTGTAAAATGAGTTTGGAAGCCATCCCTCCTCTTCAATTTTTTGGAATAGTTTAACAATAGGTGTTAATTCTTCTTTAAATATTTGATAAAATTCAATTGTGAGGCCATCTGGTCCAGGACTTTTGTTTGTTGGGAGTTTTTTGATTACTGATATGATTTCATTAGTAGTATCAGTCTCTGTTCAAATTTTTGGTTCTTCCTGATTCAGCCTTGGAAGACTTAGATGTTTCTAGGAATTTATCATTTCTTCAGGTTGTCCAATCTGTTAGCAGAGAATTGTCCATAGTATCATCTTGTGATCCTTTCTATTTCTATTCCTGTCACTTCTCTTTCATTCCTGATTTTAATTATTTGGGCCCTATTTCTTTTCTTCTTGATGAGTCTAACCAAAAGTTTAGTTTTTTTTTTTAAAGAACCAGCTCTTAGTTTTTTTGATCTTTGCTATTTTTTTAAGACTCAATTTCATTTATTTCCAATATAATCTTTATTATTTCCTTCCTTTTACTCAATTTGGGCTTTGTTTGTTCTTTTTTCTTCTAGTTCCTTAAGGTATAACATTAGATTATTTGTTTCAGATTTTGTTTTTTTAGGTCAGCCTATATTGCTATGAATTTTCCTCTTTGGATTACTTTCATTGTGTCCCAAAGATTTGGGGTTGTTGTGTTGTCATTTTCATTAGTCTCAAGTTATCTTTGATTGTTTTATTTTATTTTATTATTAACCCATTAATTGTTTCATAACATGCTATTTAGTTTCCATGTGTTTGTGTGTATTTTAGTTTTTTTCTTGTGACTGATTTCTAGTTTATTACCATTGTGATCAGAGAAGATGCTTGATAGGACTTCATTCTTAAATTTATTGAGACTTGTTTTGTGACCTAAAATGTGATTCATCCTGGAAAGTATTCCATGTGCCATTGAAAAGAAAGGGGTTTTGAACCTTTGTTAATTTTGTGAAAGTCTGCAGCATGAGCCAAGTTTGGCCACTGGTTATGTAGGAGCTGCTAGAAGACTTTCAGGCCATAAGAACAGTTTGGGTGGGATGGGATCTCAGGGAATCACCAGGGTAGACAAATGGTGTTAGCCAGGTTAATGGAGAGCACAGATTTGGCGCCTGCCTGCACTGGGCTGGCTGGGTAGGAAGAGAGCTCAACAAAGGAACAGTGACATTTGCCCATGCTTCTGTCCCCAGACAGAGTTGCCCCAGAACCCCCTCCCCCATACCACTCTTCACCCTAAAGTTACTCAATTTAGTTCCTCCCTGTATGTCCCTGGCGCATTTTGAGCTGCTGTCCCTATACTGGAACTTGGAGCCAGTGAGTTTGTGAGGGAGTGAATTTGTACTTCAGTCCTTCAAGAGCAACATGTCCCAGTGTGCTGCAGCCTTCTGTCTTTCCTGGATGCAATCCCTGCTGGTTTTCAAGCACTGGTTCCCTGGTCTGGGGAGTTTGACATGGGGCTAAACCCCTCGCTCCTCAGACAGTACAAATGCAGTCAAGATATCCCTCTGATTCTTAATTGCCACACCATGGATGTAGAACCTGCCCTTTCCATTTCTCTGTTCCTCCTACCAGTCCTGGCATGGTTTCTTTATATCCTTATACAAATTCTGTTCAGCTAGTCTTCAGGTGGTTCTCAATAATGGTTATTCTACAATTTAGTTATAATTCTGATGTGCTCCTGGGAAGAGGCGAGAACAGTTTATCTACTCCACTATCTTGACTGGATGTCCCATCTCCTTGTAGCAAAGTACTGAGTGTTTGTCTCTCTCACCTTTCTCAGCTCAGGAAGAAAAGTGTATGTTGTTGTTTTTCTTAAATACCTCAACCTATGAATTTTGCCTATACATAAAGCCCCCTTGCCAGCTTTTTCCATAGCCCACTCTTCCTCATCTCGGTCACAGCTCAGATGTCACCTCCTCAGGGAGGCCTCCCAGCAAAGCCCTATCTAATCTGGCCTTTCCCAAGACCTCCCTGCTACACACTGTATGTCTGGTAGGAACTGCAGAGGCACATGAGGGTGGGCTGGAAGCCCACAGACAGCAGTAGAGAGCTGTATTAGGTGAGCACGCTTCCCGCTGAGAAAGCGGGGGCTTTAAAAAGCACTAAATCAGCAACAGCCACTCACCCTGGGCTCCGCCAGAGGGAGGGAAGACTGGACTGGAACTGTGTGGAGAGACTCAGGGGCTACTGACTCACGAGAGAGCAGGATGGGAGGACAATACGAGGTTTGTGCTGAAACACTCCCTCACAGAACAGTAGCCATCATACTCAAAGAGTCCCTTCCCAGACTATTCCCTTCCTGGAGTAAAAATGGCCCCTCCCACAGGAATTCAACACCCCCAGGCCAGAGACATGCAAATTGAGGATCACTAACCTTGAATCTGATAGCAAGCAAGTGCCCCACCCACTGAAAATCCTCTTACACCTGAGGGATTTTTCATTCAGCTGAGGGCTAAAAATCCAGGCTCATCAAGTAACTGGGAATAATAGCCACCAGGCAAAAAGCTAGAGGATGACTGAACATTTCCTTGGATTGAAAATTTACCCAGGAAAGTAAGACTTGGCAGTGGTGTACAATATGGGTCCTCACACACTCATCCAAACCCAGTATAGGGAGCCACAACCAGCGAAACGCCAACATCCACAGAGAAAATCTGGCAGGTTCCAAAACCCACTGAGATAGCCAAAATGGTGAAACAATAAAACAAATCCCAAAGGAAAGAACAAGATAATTCTTCAGGAGAAGAAATAAATAACATAGAATTAAGCAAGATACCAGAAGGCAAGTTCTGAGTAATAATCATGAGGAAGCTCAACAGCATGAGTAAAGATATAGAAACACTGGAAACCAACCAATTGGAAATGAATGATATAGAAGAAATAAAGAACACATTGCAAGGAATAACCAGCAGAGTAGAGGAAGCCAAGGACCGAATCAGTGAATTAGAAGACAGGGTAGAAAAAAATTACCCAATCAGAAAAGCAAAAAAAAAAAAAAAAGAAAAAACAGGAAGGCAGCCTAAGAGATCTGTGATACAATATGAAACATAACAACATCCACATCATAAGAGTGCCAGAAGAAGAAAATGAGCAAGGGTTAGAGAATGTATTAGAAGAAATACTGACAAACAAAACTAGTTTGGTAAAGGGAAAAGGCATACAAGTT